AAGAATGGACAAATGGAAACTTCTTTTTCAGCCATGTCCCCTTACAACCCCCAACATCTGGTAGAAACTGGTTTGCTCTCGAAGACTATAATTACCATCAAATCCAGCCAGAGAGTTTACTCACTGCCATTTTCAGTTTTTAATGAACTTATGTGGAATCTTGAGTGAGATGCTCAAGAATTTTGATTTCAGAGTGGGTGTTTGGTAATAGTAATTAAGAAGATGCCCCTTGGGAAACCACATTCCATGTGGGACTGTCTGGGCTTAAGTCCTGGCTCTGCTTCCAATCCCAGCTTCCTGCTTAATGTAGACCCTGGGAGGCAGTGGGAGATGGCTCAAGTAGGTAGGTGCTTATTGTCCTCACTGCTGCCCAGATGGGAGATCCAAGCAGAATTCCTGCCTTTAATATAACTCAGCCCCAGCTGTTGTGGGCATTTGGGAAGTGAACAGCAATTGGCAGGTGTGAGATAGGCATTGATTCATATTCATATTCATCCCCCCAGTGGTTTTAAGAAACTGTTTATGGTCTAGCTACAAAGTAAAAGTTTTATGCTCTTAGCACCACCTTTCAGTATTTTATATCATCTAAGCATTCACAAGAATGCATGTTCATATGTTTCTGGTTGGGTTTTTTTTTTCCCTTGGATATTTTTCCATGAATAGGTCTACAGTAGACATTGCCTCTCTATGATTTATCTTTCTGCCAATCACGTTCTGATGTGTGTCACTCCTGCCTTGCCTAGTATTTTGAGCAAAGAGAAGCATGAACTCACCTGGCTGGCACGGCCCCCTTTCTACTCTGAAGTACTGAGACTTGCTGCCAGCCAGGTCTGAAGCAGGATGCTGAGAGTATGCAGCAAGCCTGTAGAGCGCATTGTTCTAGGGCGCCTCATTAAGGAGGCTGGCTTGCTCACTGAAGAGCTGGGCGTCAATGTTGTGTCTGCTCCGGCTGAACAAGCTGCACCTCCACGCTCTCCTCCCTTTCCTGCTCCTACCTAAAATTCTCATTTTATTCTTCTTGGCCTTCCCGCATCTCGCATCTGTTGTTGTTTCCCCTGGGTGAGTAGCCCTGATTCAGATGGGGTACATCCCTCTGAGTAGGCGCTCTTGGGATTCCCCAGCCCTATTACTCCCCCTCCCAGCCCTACTTAGCCTTTGGCATGCAGACCTGCTGCCTTCCCCCATTGATCCAGCACGGCCAGAACCCTGTTCCCTCCCATCCACCAACTCCTCCCACCTTTTTCTTCCCCTTTTGCACATTTGTGGTTATTTAGAAATAAACATGGTGGGTCAAAGTCGAGGCAAATTGTTCAGCAAAGAAGACATGATCATGTTTCAAAAGGTGAAGATTTTTAGACGGCTTAGTGCTTAAATAATGTCAAGAGGAAATTAATGATGTTTTAAAGACACAAATGGAGTTTTCTGGGAGCTAGCCTTGAGTAGATACAAGTGACATGTGACGTCCGCCCAGATGTCTTTACTGTACAGACAGCAGCAGCAAAGACGTGCTCCTCTGTGGCCCTGGCTCCCTGGGGCTGTGCAGACATGACTTCTCGGCGGCCTTAAAGGTCCCTGATGCAGGTGCTAATGTGAAATCCCAAAGCTGGGTAAAGGTGATTTACTAAGTGATCACCTATTAAAAAGCTTGCTGGTCTTTCTAATAACACTGTATATGTGGTATACATGGTGCTAATTTTTGAGGGGAAAATACCTGTTTTTACTCATAAAACTTATCAAAGGGACCTGTCACTTAGAACATTTTTGCTTTGTGTTATAGTTTATATTTTGATGTTAAAAATGTACATACAGGGTGGTTTCTGTGGTACAACGGGTTATGCTGCCGCTTGGAAGACCCACATCCCAAATCAGGGTGCCTAGTTAGTGACCCAGCTACTCTGCTTGCTCCAGCTATTCATGTGGGAGACCTCTGTGAAGTTCATGGTTCCTGGTTCCAGCTTGGCCCAGCCCGGACCATCGCAGGCATTTGGGAAGTCAAACAGTAGATGGAAGATCTCTCCCTTCTCTCTTCCCCTCTCTCTGTCACTTTGCCTTTCAAATTCACCTTTTCTTAAAGTGTAAGTTTTTCTGACTTACTGAAAGCTGCCTCCAGGATTGAATTTGCCTAGCTCATTTGTGGCAGCTTCTCTTTGACCTGTCCATGTAATGTTTATTGTTACACAGTCAGCATGGAATCCTGGGCTCAGAGAGGAATCTACACAGTGAACACGTGTTCATCGAGTTTCATCTGAGAAGGGTGCTAGTGTCCGACTTTGCTTCAGACCTGTGCCTTGGTTCCTTGGGTGCTCAACCGACTCCTCTCCCCACCATATGAACTCATAGCTTCCTCCAGGCTGTCTCCTCCCCAGCCAGGCTTCCACTCCAGCCCTGCAGAGATCCATGTAGCGGTCATCTCGTTCTGATTTGGACTTCGTGGCTAGTTCTTACACTCAAACCTTACTTCTCTTAATTTTGTTTTCTTCATTTCTCCTTGGACTTCTCAGAGCAGCGAGCCTCAGTTGCCATGGCAGGCAGTCTTTGTTCAATGAAATATGGTGTTTAGGTGGTGGGAAAAGAATCCAACGGAGAAGCCCATGTGGCCCAGGTCTTGCTGCAGGTTCCACCTGACCTGTGCCTGTTTCCTGCTTAGTGGGAGAAAACCGTTTTCCTGCCAAGGGTCATTTGGATATTTGTAGCTTCATTCCTGGCCCATGCATGCTGACCCACTGTTCTAGGTTATGGGATTTTGAGTCCTGACAGTGATCAAACAATTCCCCAGGCCTTACTCAGTTCATGGGCCCGATCGATGTTCCATACTCCTGGAAGAGGGAAAATTGCTTATGTGGTGAGGAGGCCTTTGGCGGGAGTGTTGGAGTCAAGAAGCAGCAGTTGTATAAACCTGGAAGTCCTTTCTTGCCGTTTGCTGATCTGATTAATAGTCTAACGCTACAGAGACCATGATTTTCCCATTTTACAGAAGGGGATAGTAAGGCATGAGGGAATGAGTAGCTTTTTATGGTCACAGAGCTAATCAAGTCGTGAAAACTGGAACATGATTACTCTCCCCTGTTCCATATCCCAGGCCACGTGGGATTCCTGGCTCTGGCTCCTGGCTGCAGCTTCCCACCCATGCAGGGTCACGTGATTGGGATTCTGCCACCCGTGTGAGAGACCTGGATTGCATTCCCTTTTCCTGGCTTTTGCCAGGCCTGGCCACTACAGGCATGTAAACCAGCGATTTCTGTTTATCTGTCAGTGTCTCTTACTTCTCCTCCAAATAAATACTTTTTGAAAAGTTTGTAAATAAATGGAGTAATGAAAGATAAGTTTACTTCACTGCAAACTGGTTCTTTTATAGATCCACTGTTTTGATAATGTGTATTTTCCATGAGCTTTTTGAATCACCCTGGTTACTGAGGACAGATTTGGCTTATCAGGACAGCAGTGTGAGCACTGCACAGGACCTGCGGACTTGCTTACATTGCTACCACCAGCAGAAAGCTGGCCATGACCTCACAGAACTGTTCCTGGGGAGTAACGTCTTGAGTACAATTGGCTTGACCTCCTGCAAATGATGCAGTATTTCTTCCTTTACCTTACAAATGGTTGTTTAAAAACAAAAACAAACCCTGTGCTGCCAGATTGGAGCAGAATACTAACAAGCAAAGTGACTGTGCTGAGACTCCTAGAAGGCAGCTGCCAGGCCGTGTGATGGCTGTGTAGCCACGCATGACACAGTTGGCAGCCTTAGGAGTGTGTCCTTAGCCGCTTGCTCCTCAGGCCCTGCTCTCAGTCTGCCTGCCACTCTCAGGCATCTCTTGGTCTTCTCCTGCCTTGGCCTTGCCTCTGATTTTGTTCCCCCCATTTTCCCCTCTAGTCAGGAAGGGGAGAAAAGCCAAAGGAAACCGAAAGTGATTGACACTGCTGGGATGGAAAGTAGCATAGAATGGGAGCTCTGGGAAAGTTTTTAAATCTTAACTTTAAATTTTGGGGCTGTTTTATTTAGGTTTGGTTTTTCGTTTGTTTGTTTGTTTTTTCTCCTTTCACTAAGCAGGTGAAAGCACCTTCAGTGACAATCGTTTATACCCTTACCTCTTTGAAAGCTTCTACTTCCTGTACTTTTTAGTTCTGGCATTCATCCATCACTCAGTGTTATGTTTATGCTAGTGCAGATCAACAGGAGTCCACAGTCTTTCCTGAACACAGTGCCTGGAGCAGGAGCTAGCAGTAGTTCTCTCCCCACTGGGGATCACTAAAGTCCCCTTGTTTGGGGGTGCTTCACACCTTTGGTAATGTCTGCCAGGACCACCTGAGGAGAATCATGGTGTCAGAATGTGCTCAGGGAGGCCTCAGCCAGGCTGTGTGTGGGGTGATACATCCCAGGAGAGCACTGCCATGAACAGAGTGCACCATGGCAGCTGCTGCAGCTTGCCTGACACAGTACTCTCCTTCTTTTTGAGGGTCACTGCTTACTAAACCCTGGATAAGAACATGGGGGCCACAACAAAGAAGGATGTCACATCTACCTGAGCAAATTCCGTGTCATTTCCTGGGGTCATCCGTTGTGAGTGACAATTGCAGCACATACTACACATTGGCCAACCCAAAACAGAGCCTGGGAGGAGCCCTTACACCATTTGTAGTTTCTGTATGGTGCAAGATCCCTCCTGGAAACTGGAGGCTCTCAGGCCAAGCCCTTGACTAGCAGGTTGTATGTAGATCATGATTCTGTAGAGATCCAACTCCTGCTTAGAGGGCTTGGGCCTAATCAGATATGCTTGGTTCATTTTAAAGTGTTGACCTTTCAATTTACTTAGCCTGTAAGCAAGCTTAAGAAAAACACTTTTTTTTTCATTAGGAATTACACATGTACGTAACTCGAAACAATGTGTTAGTTACTGTTGTCGTTTCTGATTGAAGTCAAGCTTCAATTTTGTTGCTAAAATGATCAGATGTTTTGTCATCAGCTGTGCTCATTTTTTCCCTCCCTGTTTCTGTTTCAGTTGCTGATATGTGTTCAAGATGAGTGGGATGGGAGAAAATACCTCTGACCCGTCCAGGGCAGAGACAAGAAAGCGTAAGGAATGTCCTGACCAGCTTGGACCCAGGTGAGAGTCATGCCAAGAAAAGGAATCTGTATTGTCTATGAAGGCCACATGCAGGCTTGCTTGTTGTTTTTAGCATTGACTTTATTCCCAATGGGAATATTGTTCGTAATTTTTCTCCTTAATATTTAAATCCTTAAATGCATTCTAGTTTACAATTTAAATCTATGAATAAGTAACAGAATTTACTTTTCTGTATAAGAAAAGCAATGTACTATATTGTGTTTGACTCTTACAACCACTCTATTCCTTAATCTTGAATTCTTCACATTTTATTATCTGTTGGATCACAGAAGGCTGTCATGACAAGGATATCCTGTAATAAAAAAGTTACTGTTGATTTCACAGTGGGTTTACTCTTGGTTTGTTTTGCTTTTTTATGACATGCAGTGTTGAGTCTACTTGCTTTTGAGTTGAGCACAGTGACTGTGGCTTTTCTCTAGTACTATGGGTAGTCTGCATGGCATGGTAATTTGGCAGCATCCACATATTAAATGCATTTCCTCTTGGAGCTAGCAGTTCTGAATTTAGGAATTTTCTTGTGATACTCTAACACATGCAATGATGCAGGTATAGAGGTTACTCGTTGCAGCATTGTTTCTAATTGCAAAAGAATAAGGAAAATGTTTGCAGGGAACTGTGTAAACAGCAATGATACATTTAGACTCTGGAACACAATGCAGCTGTGAGGACATTCTTTCTGGATTAATATGAAGATTTAGAGAACAAGCAGGGTTTAGAAAATGTAACGAGTACTACCATTTGCATAAAAAATGTATTCATATTGTTTGGGGGATGAAGCTAGGTAATACAGAACAGAGGGAGCAAAGGACTTTTCATACTTTCAGTGTTTTAAAGTAGAGATAACTACTTGTTTCTAATGGCCAGTGAGAAGATGAGACAGGGAGGAGGTTGGGAGAAGAGCTCCACCGAGTCATCAGCCGAGGAAGTGGAGAAAAGGAGAAAGGCTAATATTTCATTTTCTGTGGACTCTTGTAGTTACCATCGTCAACAAAACTGTTCTAAAGCTACTCCTTTTGCAAAAAGATTAATTTCCATTTCTCTTACTAATCTTAAATAAATTCTTCCTTTTTACAAATGTAAATTCCCTTACCTTTTTAAAACATTTCCTTACTGTTTTGACTACAAAGTCAACACACAATTCTGTCGAGCCCTGGGTAATATCATTGTGCAGATCCTTGATGTGGCCCATCCCACAGCCCAGCAAGAGCCGCTCACCATCAGGGGAAGGAAAGTGGCAAGCAGCAGAGAAGGCTGTTGTTTTTTTAAAAAACCAAGCAACTTTTTAGGACAAATTGATTTTCCCCAAATGTACTTCTTTGCTTATTCAGATAACTGCTAAAACTGGTTTAACTTACTCATCTGTTTCAGAATAGCTCTTTTTTAAAGAAATGATGTAAAAATGTGCCTTTTTTTTCCTAGTCCCAAAAGGAGCACTGAGAAGCGCAACCGTGAACAGGAAAACAAATACATAGAAGAACTTGCGGAGTTAATTTTTGCAAATTTTAATGATATAGACAACTTTAACTTCAAACCTGACAAATGTGCAATCTTAAAGGAAACTGTGAAGCAAATTCGCCAGATCAAAGAACAAGGTAAGAGGACTGAATGAACATTGTGGAGGGCTAAGCTGGTTCTTGCTTTTCGTTCTGTGAGAAGTCCCTTCATAGTCCCTTGAATCCACTGCTTGTGCTTCAATTATTGATGAGGAAATGATGTCACATTGTAAGATGAATGCTGGTATCACTTGCAGTGGTTTATAAATAGACTTTATATAAAATGCAGCCATTCCCTACAGAGACGAGACGAGGTGAGCTGGGGTGATGGAGCATTTCACGTGGTCAGCTCAGTCAGGTGCCCACTGCTTTTCCTCATGCCACCTTGCAGCTTTCAGAGCTTGCACAGCAAGTGACTATCATTTGCAAAAGACAGGCCAGTTTGAGATGGAAATTGGAAATAAGGAAGTAGGCTACTTCCTGTTTCAACTGCTTGGCATAGTTAACTGTGTCTGAGCCTGCACCAGGCCCGGCCTACAGATGAGAATTTCCTATCCTGAATGACTAGTAAGATTCCAATGTTTCCAATTTCAAGTAGAAATACTGAACATAATTTGTTTCTTCTGTGAGATCATTTTAGGCATCACTTCTCACATCTTTGGTACTTTTGCCTTCGTGAAAGACACAAGAAATTACTATTTAAAACACACACATTTGGCTTTACTATGCCAAAAAAAACTGTTTACTAAATGTGCAAGAACAGTGCCTTGGTGCTTAGGGCCAGTATGTGTTTTGGATGCTTCTGTGTGCTGCCTCCTTGGATGGCTCGTGGTTTCATATCTTTTATAATCTGTTATGTTTTCCTACTAATTGCTATGAATTTTATTTTCATATGGACTCTAATCAAATATTAGAACATTATGTAAAGTGACACCAGAATGAAGTTTTTTAGTAGAGCACTTTTTAAAAATTTATAAGCATCATAAAATTACTGCCCAGTTGTCTGTTTTGTAATGTGTCTTCTAGAGTTTGTGTTTTTTAGTCTCTTATATAATAATCAGAAAAAGATGTTTATAAAAAAGCAGTTTCGTTTTTCTAGATGTAGGAGTCTCTAGTTATCTATGCCCCGTCATAAAATTCTAGCTACAGATTTGCATATGATAATGTAACATAACATAACATTTTGCATTTTTATACACAAACTATCAAGTGCTATAAAAGTTTTATAAACCTAGTTCTGTCTTCTAAGAATTAATAATATTCATATTCACTTATGTACATTCATTCTTATACAACACAGTTGCTAAGACAAATGCCCTCCAAAAACAAGTCTTTATTTTACCGTCATCATGGTTACCATTCAAGGATTTGCTTTTAATGCTTCAGTTTCTCATCATCTTCTCTTTTCCCTTGGAGGTTGTCTGGTTATTGGAAACTCCACTTGTTTTTGTTGTCAAGATTTATTTATTTGTCTTTTATTTTTATTGGAAAATCAGATATACAGAGAGGAGGAAAGTCAGAGAGGAAGATCTTCCATCCACTGAATCACTCCCCAAGTGGCCTCAATGGCTAGAACTGAGCCAATCTGAAGCCAGGAAACCAGGGCCTCTTCCTGGTCTCCCTCATGGGTGCAGTGTCCCAAGGCTTTGGATCGTCCTTGACTACTTTCCCAGGCCACAAGCAGGGAGTTTCATGGGACATGGAGCAGCAGGGACACAAACTGGCGCCCATATGGGATCCCAGTGTGTGCAAGACGAGGACTTAGGCACTAGGCTACCAGAACAGGCCCCTAGAAACTCCATTTGTAGTATCAGTTTTATTTCTTTGTTTTTTTTGGCATCAGCAAATGGATAAATTATTCCTGCTGCTGCAACTCTTAGGAAAGTAATGGGTAAGGTTACAGTGTTTTGAGTGAGGGAAAGCAGGAAGCTTCTTACTTCGGTTTTCTAAGCCCTTTCAGTGATTGAGTTTTGTGAGCACAGCATGCTGCGGACTGCTTTGACATTTTCAAACAATTATATTGTTCACACCCCCCGTGAAAGTCTTACACAAGTTTTCGAAGTTTTGCAAAACCTTGGTAATTCCCCCTTAGACCATAAGGCACGTTAAGATGTGTCATGCTGGGCCTGTGCCATACCTTAACTGGAGTTTGAATCATAAGGCTGCATACCACAACCACCCAAGAAGAAGCAATAATAAACACTCTGTCACGTCTTATTCTTATAATGGGTGCTCAGCTAATTTGAGAAGCAGCATGCTTTGGGAAGGGAAACAAAAGTCAAACACTGACTTAAAGCAAGATAAAATAAAAGAGAGAGAGAAAGAGAAAATGCCCATAGACGTCGATGCTCTCAATTTAGATTAATATTTTTCAGAATATCCCTCATGCAATCAATGTTTTAAAAATAGAAAATAAATCAGGCAAAACTTAGGCCTCAATCCTCCAGCCACTTAACTGTTTTTGAATCTGGGAGAATTATTTTCTCTCTGTGAGACTCCATTTCCCTGTGTAGAATGTAGCTGGAACAAAACCCAGTTGTGTGACTGTTGAAGAAATTGGGGGTTATGTAAATGCATTCAGTAAGTATCTATCAGAGTATATGATTGTAGATAATAATAGTTTTCTTGCTTATTGGGCAAAGTGTGCCTTTTTTTCTTTACCTAGGCCAAGGGCTTCAATGACATCTTCCTCCAAGTAGAGAGCAGAAGAAAGGCTGGGGAGTGGTTGTTAAATATTAATACTACAGAGTCATTTGAGGGAAGTAAAATTTCTTCTGAAGCCAGAAAATTTTTTTAAGATTTATTTATTTATGTATTTTATTGGGAAGGCAGATATACAGAGAAGAGCCAAAAGAGGATTATCTTCCATCCACTGATTCACTCCCCAAGTGACAGCAACAGCCAGAGTTGAGCCAGTCTGAAACTAGGAGCCTGGAGCCTCTTCGCGGTCTCCCACATGGGTGCAGGACTTTGAACCGTCCTTGGCTGCTTTCGCAGGCCACAAGCTGGGAGCAGGATGGGAAGCTGGGCTGCCGGGACATGAACCAGCACCCATATGGGATCCCAGCAAGTTTAAGGCAAGAACTTTAGCCTCTAGGCTAACACACTGGGCCTGGTACCAGAAAATTCTAAGTTATTGTTGGTTTGATTTCTCCTGGTAGCTGCCAGCCAACCTGGCTTTGGGAGGACCTTGGAAGTCACACCTGAGCGCTCATCTGTGTCCCAGCTGTTCCCCTTTCCAGCCAGCATAAACGATAACCAACTTTCCCTCTGTCAAAAAGCCTGATTTGTATTGCAATCCTAATTGTGACTTTGTAGAACAGTTAATTTGGGGGCTCAGGAGGATATAACTGCTATATCCTAAGCGCACAGGTTTGTCCTAGAGAGGTGAGACTGCATGGCCTGCAGTGCCACATTAAAGAACTCCCAGCTGAGATAGCTGGAGTCCTTCCAGCATGTAGCTGTGGGATCCAGCCAGGCAAGTGGGCTCTTCCCGCTCATCTGCTCTCAGCAGCCACTCTTCAGCTTTCCCTCTTCAGCTTTCCTTTTGTTGCTTCTTAAAGTTATAGGAGACAGGAATTTTCTTTTCTAGGAATTATTTCTTTTTAGTTGAAAGGCAGACTTTACAGAGAGGGTATGATCTTCCATCCTATGGTTCATTTCCCAAATGCTTGCAATGGCCAGAGCCAGGGATCCAGGGTTCCAAGGACTTGATCCATCTTCCAGTGCTTTCCCAGGCCATAAACAGAGAGATGGATCAGAAGTAGAGCAACTGGTACCTGAACTGGTGCCCATATGCAATGCTGGTAGAGGATTATCATACTACGCCACCATGTTGACCCCTGCTAAGTATTTTTGTGTGCTCAGATTTGGTAGCATACTTGAAACGCACAAAGCCCACCATAAAATAGATGTGTCAGAGGCAAGGCCAGTCCGTGCACCTAAGCCATCTTGTGAGATTTCATTATGCTTGAAGCCGCTGTCTTCTGTGGTTTCCTGGCAGTAGTCATGGATCTCCCTGGCATGCGGAGCCTCACACTGCTTTCTCATACAGAGGAACCAGCAGTGTGAAAAGTACAAATGATTGCATTTTGGATTGTTGTGTCCAATTTCATTTTTGCTGGGAAAACATGGTAAAATTACAACAAAGTATAGAGTGAGTAATAGCTATAGTTATAGTTCTGTGCAATTTAAGGAATATGAGGCAGAGAGAGGAGTGGTAGTGTTGTGGCACAGTGTTTTAAACATCCCTCACAGTACTGGCATTCCACAGTGGAGTGCTGGTCTCGGTCCACTTCCACTTCAGGTGCCTGTTATTGAGCCTGAGAGGGAAATACAAAATGGCCAAAGAACTTGAGGACCCTCCCTCCATGTGGGACTTGTGGCTCCCCGGAGTTCCTGACTACCAACTTCCTCCTGGTCCAGCCCCAGGCACTGCAGGCATATGGAGACTGAGACATCAGATAGATCTCTTGTCACTGAGAATGTGTGAATAAAGAAAAAAAAGTAATACCTCTAAGACTAAAGTAGCCACACTTTTCACTAATTTCCTAAAATATTTAAGTTGAAGGTTTCTAAAAAATGCTTACAAACCATTTGCCACTTCATTTACTTCAGTTTAGTGGGGCAGGTGTTGGTGGTACAGTGGTTCAAGTTCCCGCTTGCATTGTTGGCATCCATCCCAGAGCTGGTGATTAGAGTCTTGGCTGCTCCTTTTCTGATCTGGGATGCTGCTAATGCACCCGCAAGGCAGCAGATGATCGTCCAAGTACCTGGACTCCTGCTATGAGGGAGACACCAGTGGAATTCCTGGCTTCAAGCTAGTCTAGCCCCAGTGGTTTTGGTCTTTGCAAAGTGAACTGTCAGATGAAAGATCCCTTTCTTTCTTTCTGCCTCTCCCTCCTTCTCTCTCACCTTTAAAGTAAACTATATATAAATCGTTTTCAAGAGTTCTGGTTGAGCATGGTGTAATTGAATACAGAATGGGTTTATTCTAATAAGGATTTGTTGCAAACTTCCGTTATATTGCTGTAGCAGTTTGATTCACGAACAACCGCATTATACAGATACTTCAAAAGTCTGTGTTAGTACAGCCCAGA